AAACTCTAGTCTATGATAACAATGTACTAATTAAATATGCAAATTCAAATTTTTTGTGAATATAATTGAGAAGACGAAAGATAGAGAAAAAAATTGTTTTATCTATATATAATCTACTCTGATTTCAATTTCGCATAAACGCGTAACCATCCTTCGAATATTTCTTGACTGTTACATACAAATTTCTCTTCGGTAAAGACCCACACCTTCGACTATTGCTTGACTATTCTTTCTGAACCAACAGAGCTCAGCTCTCTTAAAACAATAAAGCTTCCACGCTATTCCCGAGGCTTTGCGTTTCAAAGATCCGTGAAGCACTTGCACGTGCACGTGGCTAGAAAGCGTCGGTTGACCAATATCCCGAGACGCCATTCTGAACAAATGTCCTGCGTAACGTGGTGGAAATAAAGCGTAGAAGAACGTCGTTTATCTCCAAGTTGGAGGCCGTTTGCACGTTCGCTGATACGTCACTGGTGATGGATTAAACTTTCGAGACTTCGCTACCGCTTTCGCGAGAATTATCAGCGTGAATCGTTCGAACTTTAACGATCATCGCGAGGGGGACATTTTTTAAGATGGAGATAGCGAGGCGAGCTCTCTCGTGTGTGTACACGTACAGCGAAAACTTGAAATCCTACGTCGGAAGGTAAACGTCCTTACCTCCCCCACTTTATGGTTAACTAGTGACAGTAAGGATTGAACTTGGAACGCCTCTAACTGCCAAGTTGAACGTCGAAGGATTAACGTCATCGACGTTCTCTTCAGCTTCGTCTTATTTCCAAGTGCCGGAGGTTTAATTCAGACAGGAGTTTGAGGAACGAACGTCGAAATACCGCGTTGTTTCGTCAATGGTACCATTAGAACTCGTTCCCGCGGGAGGCAGCGCCCTTAATGGAATATAATTTTTCAGCTCGACGAACTTTCGATTACAAACGTTCGTAATTCAATCCCTCCGACTGGCAAACTTCGCGGCGTCGACGATTCCCAGTCGCAAAGAGGATTAACGAAATCTTGATGTAAGGGGCTGAGGAACAGAAATTTCCGCGAGTTACTAGGTAACTCCTAAGGTGAAATATCTCGTTCGTGGAAGGCGTTGCAGCCTCGTTGGAATTATGCTCGCCAGACCGTAACTCGTGAACGTGTAATAAGTATGACATCGTTAACTTTCACGATCACGGTGTGTCGGATCGGTTAATAAGATTTCGATATCGTACGAATAAATTGACGATTGAACGAGCATCGATGGCACAGATCATTTTTGAATGTCATTGATATACGTGTTATATGTATCTGTGTTAAACGATGTTGGAATATGCCAATTAAGTGATTTCAGTACTAGATGATGTTAGAGACGATGTTTGAATATTTTTAATTAAATAATCTCGGCATTAAATGATATTAAAAGTGAGTTTTGAATATTATTGATAAATATGTAATATGTATAACAATTAGATGATCTCAATATTAAATGATCTGACAGATGTCTGGTAAGTGTAACAATTAGATAATTTCAGTATTAAATAGTGGTTGGACATTGTTAACAAATGTCCAATAAGTATGGTAATTAGATAATCTCAGCGTTAAATGATGTCAGAGATGGTTTTTAAATTTTGTTAACTCAGTATAACAAATATGACAATTAAGTTGATCGCAATATCAACTGATCACAGATGATCTTTGCAAGAAGATCATTTGCAATAAATACGTCAAACGTTCAAAAAATATATTGTTCATAAATATCCAGTCACTGCTCGATTTGTAGTAACCGTACTTGAACATAATCAACGTGTGCAAACTATCAATGGATTAATAAATAGTAAGTTCTCTCAAAGGAATGCATTGTTCACAAGTTATCTAGACACTAGCCAATTTACAGCAAAATTCGAATTTAATCAAATTACCGAAAGTAAGCTATTTACCGATTTATTTGTGGATTTAAATTCATCTCGTTGTTGAAATACATCTTGTCAAAAAATAAATCAAATAAATACGTACACGTTTCGTGATCAAGCGCGTTGAAAGCACCGCCGCCGCCATTTGTAACGTAACACCCAAATAATGTTCCCCAAGTGTTTTCATGCAGGAGCCAAGTGAATATCGCGCTTTAGTTTGAGAAACGCTGCCGCGGGCCTATTAAAGCTCGTAGACACACGTATAATCGACGACATAAACGTTATTCAAATGCTCGGTGTGTACACCGTCGTGCATTGCGATTCAGGATCACAGGCGGCCATTAAAATTCATGAGGGCCGAGCGTGTAATTTCGTTTTTACGTGCTCGCACGCATTAATACGCGCACGGCACCGGAATCGAATTGATTCTTGGTTTCCAGCGATTTTTCCCCCTCTCGGAGAGGGGCGAGCACTGCCGTGATTTTTCCTGCCACGCGTCGAGCACGCAATGGCCACGTGGACGAGATACAAACGCACGGGGGCGTTTGAAGTTGGCGTTTTCAATTTGCCAAGCTATCCGACAAAACGGCACTACTCTACTCTGGCGGTTTCTCCGTTTGGCTTGGCGGGAATTTGCTTTTCAAAGGGCGCTCCGACAACTTCCACCCTCTCGTCGTTGCCCTTAATCCAACGGAGTTCCCTTACAGAGTGACTTAATTAGTTGCAAAATTAGCGGAGACCGCGGATAGAAGTGGCCCTGTACGTTTCGGAAGTTCCGGGGGAGGAACACTACTCACTCACGATTCTCGGTCGATCAAGTTGAAATTTTTGAAATTTCGACGGCAAGGCCCGCTCGATGCAACGAAGATATCATTCGTTGGAACTGTGTTCAGCAGAAGGTCTCGAGTCGAAAGATCAATCCATTGGTATACTGGTAAAACGTAAAATAAACAACCTGCCTGGCTCTCTCAACGAGAAACAATGAGTTTCGCGATGGGAACGGAGCAAAGGGAAACGAGGATTAGTCGGGAGGATCCTTCAGCCTCGATCGGCGAGGCTGATGCGAATACTTGCTTGAATATTCATCGATTCCCGCCGTTTATTTCCGCGATAACGTATGCGCGACGGATAAATCGATCGTGCCAGACCGTGCCACTGCGATTTAAGCGTCCGCCAGAAAGGCGAATCGGCCTCGAGTATATGCAGTTTTTATCTTTTTCGTCGTTTCTCTTTTTTCTTTTTTTTTTTTTTTTTCAATTGCCAGAGATGTTGGCCAGTAACGTATCCCGTTTCCACGTGTATCGTTGAATTTTATAACGTTACTAGAAAAAAAAAGAAAGAAAAAAAAAAACAGATACGCCGTTTATTCCACGCTTCATAAATTTCAGATTATTTCCCATTTCGCCTCTTCCCGCGCCTCTTCATTGTTTGCGGTCCCGATGAAAACGATTACGCGGTTTGTTTTTGTCCTATTTTGCTTTTTATGCCCGGAGAGTTCTTTTTGCTGAAGGGGGGATGGTGGAGGGGGAGAGTTAAAAAGACCAATGAAAATGAAAAAAACAAAAGTATCATTTGTTTTGGGAAGCCGAGCAATTCGCGTCAACGCATCGCTCGAACTGTCCTGTTCATTAGATTAATTAATAACGTTCTTTGACCACTTTTTCCTCCCTCTCCCCCACCCCCTTCCCGTTCTCCGATTATTTTCCCGCTCTCGCGTTCTTTTTTTCTTTTCGCTTTTGTCCCACCTTCGGGGCAAGTATGATTTTCGCGTAAACGAACACGGGGGACTCTTTCTTTTTCGATGTTTTCGCGTAACAAATAACTTCCATTTTTAATTGGAGCTTCAAAGCGAGCAATCGTATTAACCAACCATCCACCTCGAGAGCTCGTGCTCGTTTCTGTCCATTGAATTCTGCGTCTCGTTGCCAGTTTTTTTCATCTCGTCGCACGTAGATTTTTATTCACTAAGTGTAGAGTGAAAAAGAACACTTTATTATCGAACGTTTTGCGATTGAATTTTTAATTCACTTGTACAACAG